GGGTAACTACCCTGGTGCCATCCTTGATCAAGAATCAGCCTTGTGGATTGAAATGATGAGTTATTTGAATTTCTCTTGCTGGTGTAATGGAGGGGCCTTGGATTCTCTCGAAGGTAACTGGGAAAGCTGCTGTGCACACTTACACGTCATTTAGGAAACTTTGCTTTTAACTGGAGAGGACAGGAAGTTGGCTCACAAGCTAGAATATTTAGATCTGAGTCCAGGGGCACCTTTGAGACCAATGAGCTAGAATGCTGTAGGTTCAACTGCATCCCCATATAACCGTTTGCTTTTATTCTCTTGCCATTTTTCAGTTACTCTCTTTGCAACCCAATTCATTTTTCCATTATCTCTGTACTGCCCTTCTTGATGTGAGCCTTGGACATTTAGAATTCGTTTTGTGTTTATGCATTTTGGTTTATTTCATTGCGTATCAATAAACCCATTAATTTGTTTCAGTTAACTCACTGAATCGGTGTTGTTTACTGGTTCTGTGTGGCCTACTGAGGCAAGTCAGATCCAGGTTAACAGTTCTCTGGATCCTGGACACATTTTACCAAGCAGTGTTCCCTCTAGGATGAGTGAATGTGAGCTAGTTCACAGCTTTTTAGCCTCCAGCTCACACATTTTTGCCTTGGCTCAGGAAGGATGGCTCAGGAAGGATGGCTCCAGAGCACACTAATTTATGCCGCAGCCAAATCGCTCACACACAACTTTAATGCCAGTAGCTCGCAAAGTAGAGTTTTTGCTCACAAGACTCCACAGCTTAGAGGGAACGTTATGAGAGTGATTTTTTTTTCTTAATTAAAAAAAAAATGAAGAGCCATGGAGAAATGTACCCACTTTACGACTACAGGATGGGATGGGAGTGTTGGACATTGACAGTGAAAGCGTGGATCCCTGTGGCAGCAAGTAGACACAGACTTTTGGGCTGCTGCAGTTGGCCAGAATTGTCCCATTTGCTAGGTTATGCATCAGAGGCACAACCAGAGCCCGAACTTCAGTGACGGTGGAGGGCAGAGGCTGAATGGGTGAGCCAGCTGCTCTGCAGTAACATGAACTCCTCCGCCATGGTTTCACACAGCCAACAGGCCACTCCAGGGAAAACCTGGGTCAGGGATCAAGGGTCCTTGAGTTTGGGCCCATGGAGATACAGCATCCGCGTGATCCCGTTCTGCTGGGTTGGGAGTTTTCCCACCAGAAGAGTCCTCTTCTTCCTCCTCCTCCTCCTCCCTAGAGCCACACTGAAACTCAGCCTTTGGACTCTGTGCCCCTTGCTCCTGGCTGGCCCGTTCCCTGAGCACGACCCTGAAGGCCTGTGGCACATGCTCTGTCAGGAGTAACCGTTCTCTGGCGGACAGCAGCAAGTCAGCCTTGGGGGTTACCACCTTAGACACGGCAGGTCATGAGGTACAGGATTATTTCTGTAAAGAAAAAGTTGAAGAAGAGAGAACATGTTTTTATACCCCACTTTTCACTACCTTAAGGAGTCTCAAAGTGGCTTACAATCGCCTTTCCCTTCCTCTCCTCATGACAGTCACCTTGTGAGGCAGGTGGGGCTGAGAGAGTTCTGAGAGTACTGTGACTGGCCCAAGGTCACCCAGCAGGCTTCATGTGGAGGGGGAGTGAGGAATCAGACCCGGTCCCCCAGATCAGAGTCTGCCACTCTTAAACACTACACAAAGGGTAGATAAAGTGAAGAGTCACAGGAAGTGAAAAGGAGAGAGAGTGTGTGTGTGTGAGGGGGGGAATGTCTGTTTTAGCGAGTTTGCAAGACTGCACTCCTTCCCTAGGCAGGAAACAAACCTATGAGTAGGGTGAGACAGGAAGTTGATACTTTTACTAAATGGAGAGAGGAACTGCCCGTACGAAGATGCCCTTCCACTCACAGTCTGCATGTGTCGTTGAGCATGGTGGGAACTATCAATGCAATCCTAAACAGATCTACGCAGAACCCTATTGACACCTAATCAATGGGGCTTATTCCCGGGAAAGTGTTTTAAGGACTGCATGGTAGCTGCATGTTTTGAAAAAACAACACAGTAGGCACATATGGGAAAATACAGATTAAGTAAAATAGAAACAGGAAAGGACCAGGCTGTGTTACAAACCATTACAACTCATCAGTACAGAGTGGTTTTACATACAAGACTACTATATCTCATTTTTTTAAAAAAGAAAGATGATAGACCTCATGGCACAAGAGATGTGTTTCACCCAGCAATTCTGCAGGAGGAAAAGGAGTTACTGAATAAGACCTCCAGTGGTCAGACCAGACCAAGGCTTCTTGTGTTTCACGTAGCTCTTTGCAATCGCTCCCCACCATTAACAGAGCAGAATAATGTCCGAGCAATGCAAATGTTCACAAAACTGCACACACTGGGTTGGATCATGATATCAGCAGAAGATCCAGATGGTCACAGATCTTTACTATCCCGTCTCTTCCAGTAACAGATTTCCACTGAGCGAGGAGGAAGGGAATGGTTTTGTCCCTCTCTGCAGCAGCCTCCAAACCTGTGGATCTATGAGGCATTAAAGGCCTCGCCAGGGGTCATTTCCTGCAGGAGCGCACAGGAGCGGAGCTCCGGCAGTAAAGAGCCCAGAGGGCAGGCACATGCAACAAGTCCCGCCCCCTGCTCCCAGCAGCACTCAGAGCAAGAAGCAGCCAGGTAAGTTGCAGCGCCCCCCCGGCTCAAAACAGTCCAGTGGCACCTTTAAGACCAAGTTTTATTCAGGTACAAGCGCTCCCTCCTCTGCGCGGGACAGATCTGCATGTCCCCCCCCCCCAACAGCTAGCAATCCAAAACAGTTCAGTGGAGCCTGAGCAGTGGGTGTTGCCCTCTGACACACGTCCGGTAATGTCAGGGGGTGTGGCATATGCAAATAAGTTATGCTAATGAGTTATGCTAAGGAGCTCCTGCACCTCCTTTTCTACAAAATGACCCCTGGGCCTCGCTATTCTATGAATAAACTTCCTTGCAGTGAGAACACACTGCTGAGGGGCGGGGAAATGGGGGAAGAGATCTGTATCTAATCCTTTGTAGAATTATACCAGGGGGGAAAAAAATCACACAAATGCCTGGTGGATGGAATTTGCACTGCCTTGACACAGACTGTTTTGCTGCAGAGTATACACAGCCCTGCCACTGTGGTGGGGAATAACCGGCATCATGAATACAACAGCTTATCCGCCCCTCTCAACAACACAAGAATTCGGCCCTCCCCAAGCTGCTTACTAACTGCTACTGATAGGAATTGGCATTGGTGGGATCCAGAGAACCCAGTCGCTTGAAACAAAGAGACCTGAAGCCCAATCAAGGCCTTTCACTACAACCCGGTGACTTCCCCCTTATGTCTGTGTGTTATCCTGTCATTTCCAGGAGGGTGTTATGTTGGTGAGCGTGGAATCTGGCCACCAGAACTC